AAAAGTTTTTTGTTTTTTTTTTTTTTTTTCAATATGGACTTGGTTTTTTATATTGTAATGAATTTTTTTTTTAATTTTATTTTTTGGATAGCCTATTCCTTGCGGGCTATGCTTGGGACTAATTATTCTCTTTACAATTTGTTGAATTTTCTTTTGTGTGGGCTGTTGGATGGAATATGTTATTTGAATATGTTGAAAATATGTTGACAGATATGCTATTGACAGATTGTCATCCCTATTTATAGATATGCTATTTGAATATGTTGAAAATGTGTTGGCAGATATGCTATTAAATGAAGCTTGAATAGAATATATTGACAGATATGTTATTTTTTAATTTGAAGATGTTTACAGATCACTGTTAATTTTTCCTTTGAATAATAAAAAATAAAAAATAAAATCTCTGATATGCTAGTGTAATTCGGGAATTTTTCGGGGTTAATACTACATCAAATTTGGCTGGGGGCGGGGACAAGGGAGACAACGGGTTCCCTGCCGAGGATCGGGGGCGAGGACAGGAATTTATCACTTTCAAGGATCGTGGATAGGCCCCTCCCCCCCCCCCCCCCCTTACCATTCCTACTCCATAGCCTCTCAGATGGCACTTTTGTATTTCACTTAAAGCGAGGTCCTAGCTCAGGATTAGGAGCTGGCATAGCTAGGGATGGCAATTTGAATCCAGCCTGACAGGGATCCAATCTCCCGACCCCGATTTGAGTAATTTTTTCCCGAAAAATATCCCTAATGGGACGGGAATGGTATTTAAAAATTAATCCCCGATCACTTTCGGGCTGGGAACGGGGATACGTGTCCCAGCCCCATCCCCGACCCGTTCCCGTATCTCCCGAAATGAAATTACTATTTTACCCCTAGGTATATATATATAAAAACCAAACCCTTATCACACTATCATTTCTCCCTCTGTCTCACCACGTCTCTCGTCTCTCTCTCTCTCCCTCACTCACGTCTCTCATCTCTCTCATATTAGTGCTTCTCTCATATCTCTCTTCCTCACTCACTTCTCCCTCTCTGTCTCGCTTGTGAAGCCCTCCATTCTCTCTCTTTGTCTCGCTTATAAACCATAGTCCATCCGTGAAGCCCACTATTGCCACAGATCTGAACTGGACTAGGAACGATCTCGTGAAGCTATCAATCTAGATCAATCTGAACAGATTGTGGTTTGATCTGAACAGACGGTGAAGCTACCGATCTGGATCAATCTGAACAGGACTGTGAAGCTACCTGACCAAGAAGAGCTACAGAAGCCCCTTTCTCTCTCTCTCTTTCTCTTTCTCTCTCTCTCTCCATATATATATATATATATGTTGTTAATGAACAATTTTTTTTTTTAAGTTATATATACATCTGTTGTTGTCTGTTTGCGTTGATGAACACATTTTTTTTAAAAAAGTTGTTATATATATATATATATATTTGTTGCCGTTGGTGACGTTTGTCGATGATTGTGGTTGATCTGAACAGTTGTTCTTGTGTGTGTGTGTGTGTGTTTTGAGAACAGATCTATCGGAGATTTTTCAAGGTTTGGGAAACCCGATCCCTGTTAGGGGATGGAAGCGGGAGAGGTGATGATTTCCCCGTCGGGGAACGAGGGCGGGAACGGAGATTTTTCTACTTTTGGAGATCGAGAACGGAGAGTATAGTTGTTCTTGTGTGTGTGTGTGTGTGTGTGTGTGTGTGTGTGTTTTGAGAACAGATCTATCGGAGATTTTTCAAGGTTTGGGAAACCCGATCCCTGTTAGGGGATGGAAGCGGGAGAGGTGATGATTTCCCCGTCGGGGAACGAGGGTGGGAACGGAGATTTTTCTACTTTCGGAGATCGAGAACGGAGAGTATCATCCCCGGCCCGGTCCATTGCCATTCCTAGGCATAGCCTACCTATCCCTTTTTTTGTAACCAAAAAAAAACAAAACCACATTCCACCATAACTAAATCATATTTGATTGTAATACAAATGTCCTCCTTCTTTAGACACAAAAAAATTAAAAATTACAAATCAATAGAATAGTTAAAGAATATTTATATTTTTATGATAGTACAAATATCTTATGTGCATAGTACAAGTCTAAATCATATTTGATTATAATATACACCTCCTTGATAATAAATCAGACAAAATAAAAAAATTACAAATCATTAAAATAGTAAAAGAATATTTATATTTTTGTGATGGTACCAATATCTTACGTGCAAGTCTTTGTGTCCGGTTCAACTCTTTTATACGTGTCAAAATTACACTGGAAAAAATTTTCACAAATAGTGCAATCATTTCCTTACGGTCCCATTGATTTCCTCCCCCCTACACCTCCTTGATAATAAATCAGACAAAATAAAAAAATTACAAATCATTAGAATAGTAAAAGAATATTTATATTTTTTGTGATGGTACCAATATCTTACGTGCAAGTCTTTGTGTCCGGTTCAACTCTTTTATACGTGTCAAAATTACACTGGAAAAAATTTCCACAAATAGTGCAATCATTTCCTTACTGTCCCATTGATTTGCAATTTTCCAAAAAATAAAACAATTGTGAAAAAAATTCCACAAATAGTGCAATCATTTCCTTACTGTCCCATTGATTTGCAATTTTCCAAAAAATAAAACAATTCCTCCCCCTACACCTCCTTGATAATAAATCAGACAAAATAAAAAAATTACAAATCATTAGAATAGTAAAAGAATATTTATATTTTTGTGATGGTACCAATATCTTACGTGCAAGTCTTTGTGTCCGGTTCAACTCTTTTATACGTGTCAAAATTACACTGGAAAAAATTTCCACAAATAGTGCAATCATTTCCTTACTGTCCCATTGATTTGCAATTTTCCAAAAAATAAAAAATCCCCCCCCCCCCCCAAAAAAAAAAAAAAACCCTAAGGCCTATTTTGAAAACATAACATTTTAACAAAAAGACAAAAACACAATACAAAAAAAATCAACAATTCTATCTATTCTTATAGATAGTATATATAAATAAAAAAAAACCACTAAAATTACCAATTCTCAATATAGGCCGGAATCTACACTTACAAAATATAAAGGGAGAAATTATTCACAGGTCCCATGTGAAATATGTAGACACTATTTAATTCCATAACTTTTTAGGTACACCCAAAAGTCCTTTCCTCCATCTCTCTAGTTTTTTCCTCCCTTTTTACGTTTTCTTCTTTCTCTTTTTTTCTACATTTTCTTCTTTCTCTTTTTTTCTACATTTTTCACTCATCATCTTCGTCATAGACGATGGTACAAGTGTTCATGTCTTTCTCCATTGATCGAGGTTCACTGATAATCGTCAACCATCGAAATCAACTCGTGATTTCACTCTCACCGACGGCGAAGATATATATTTCCGACGAAGAAGATGAGTGGATCTACTTAGATCTGATGTAGATCTACTACATCAAATTTGGCTAGATCTAAACAAAAAATAATTGTCGGAGTATAATCCTCTCTACATCCGCCTTTTTCCTTCGATCTTTTTTTTTTCTGCTATACACTTCTGTTTTTCTGTTCTAATAGAGAAAATTTTTGAATTCTGAACAAATAGTTTTCGAGTTTTAGTTACAGGCGGTGAAAACTGTAAAATTTTGCAGTTTTAAAATTTTTTTTTGGTGCTGGAATGAATCATGATTTAAAACTGTAAAATTTTACAGTTTTATAACATTCTTTAAAACTGTAAAATTTTACAGTTTCATAACATTTTTTAATTATTTTTTTCCGATAATATTCTAGACATTCCGGTGAGTCTTCGGCGACCGTTAAATAGAAGTCCGACGGTAGTAAAATGTGAACAGTATCTGTAAATTAAAAAAAAAAGAAAAGATTTTTTAATAACAATTAAAAATATATTAGACTAATTGGTGCAAGTGTTTTGTTTTAGGATTAGCTTAATCTTGAACTTGATACATGGAACTTTTCAGTAAATTCCCCAGTATAAAAACACAAGAATCTCATCTACCAAACACTTTTAAATAGGATCCCAACTTGTACAGACTAGCAAGCTTTCATAGAAAAAATTCAAAAACATAAAACAATACTTGAGAACAAAACCAAACTCGGACTTACACTCACGGCAATTGGAGGGGTGTCTCATTCACTTAAAGAGCAAGCTCGTATTGACCTTTTCAATGACTCATCCATAAAACAAAAACAAAAACAAAAACAAAAAATTAAGGAAAACAACAGGAGAAAAACAAAAATTAACAGCCAAACATACCATGATGAATTTACTAATAAGGCAAAAGCCTGCTTTTTTTTTAATGTCAATTAACTTATTGTCAATTCACGGCAAATGAAGATGCAAATGTCCAAAACCCACAACTGCAAATACATTTTGGAATCAACTAAAACAAAATGTGCACATCCAAAAAACAATAGAAATTCTTGCTTCCGTTCTTACGGTTTCCAGAGGATGGTGGTGTTTGCGATCATGGAAGTGACAACGTACGGATCCATGTTTGATGCAGGCCTCCTGTCCTCAAAATAACCTTTGCCTGCCTTCTCTGTGTCCCGGCCAACCCTAATGGAGGCTCCACGGTTTGCCACTCCCTATCAGTAAATTACATGAACAAGCACTATTGAGAATTGTGACAAAAATCATTAGGCAAAAAAAAGTGTTGACAAGAAAATGTCCCCAATAAAATATTCGGGGGGATTTTTTAGTCTTCAGTGATTTTTTTTTTACTTTTGAAGTTGATCTAGTCTAAGACAACCCTGAAATTTAAAATAAATAAATAAATATATAATTCAAACAACACAAACATAACGAAGCTCAGCAACAAAACAAAATCATGAAGGAAGCCCATAAGTCGAGCCAAAAAGAAGAAAAATCTAATAACTCCCAATATATCCGTGTACCATTCCTCAATTGGGTTCTTTCTTGGACCCATCAACTTAAAATGCTTCCAAAATATGTGCAACAAATACTATTAGTGAGAGAGAGAGAGAGAGAGAGAGAGAGAGAGAGAGAATTCAGAATTCATCACCATAACAATAAGCAGGGGGTAATTTGTTATGAAATATAAACCTCAGGGGGTAAATTGTTATGAAAATACAAACCTCAGGGGGCGGGATGTAATTTCCGAAACCTCAGGGGGGTATCTGTAATTTAACCAAACCTGGAGGGGTGTATATGTAATTTGCCCTTAAATAAATAATTCAAACAACACAAACATAACGAAGCTCAGCAACAAAACAAAATCATGAAGGAAGCCCATAAGTCGAGCCAAAAAGAAGAAAAAGCTAATAACTCCCAATATATCCGTGTACCATTCCTCAATTGGGTTCTTTCTTGGACCCATCAACTTAAAATGCTTCCAAAATATGTGCAACAAATGCTATTAGTGAGAGAGAGAGAGAGAGAGAGAGAGAGAGAGAGAGATTTCAGAATTCATCACCATAACAATAAGCAAAAACATGTTATAGAAAGCATAAGAACTCGTGGAAAATAAAATAAGGGAAAATGTTTGAGACCCCAAATAAATCCCCCACAATTTCACCTATAATGATGTGGCATGATAGGTGTATTTTTTATTTTTTTTTTTGGATAAATAGATAAATATCAACTTTTGATTTGTCATCACATTCTCAATTACGTGGGACTCTACTTCATTGCCATATCATTGGAGGTGCATTTGGGGTCTCAAATATGGGTCTCTAGCGTTACTCTGAAGATAAGCGTACCCATAAGAATGTGTTTATGTCAGCTGTTTCGTGCTTTCCTGTAAGCCGACGCTCATTGCCTTCTCCATAAGCAGCAATGTGTTCCTTGTGCTTCAATCCAAGCTTTTCGATGGCCTTCTTAATGACTTCAAAGCCCCCATCACTTCGCATGGACTTGGTACTGTTACCAACATGAATAGGCTATATTAGACATATTACACGTATAAGGGTGTGACCCTGGTCTACAAATCATTCTTGCGAGGTTTTTTCTTTTCTTTTTTTTTTTTTGGCATACAGAGCAAAATATTACCTGTAGTTGGTGTGAGCACCGGCTCCATTCCAGTCACCCTATTGACAAAATTTCACAAAGTTTAGAGACAGGTTGCCTAGTTCTTTTCTGGAAAAGGCATGTAGACTTGGTTACACTATATAATATAATGTAATGAACATTATGCTCCGTTTGTTCAGCCGAACAGACATTTTTTGCATTTTCTGACATTTGGTGCAGTGGAAAATGAAAGGCAAACGGAAAATAAGCCTATTTGAATGGAAAATGGTTTATACTTTTGACGGGTCTTACCAATCCCACCACCACCACCGCTAAGACAACCACTAAAATATTAATTTTGAAGTTGCAACTAAATATAGGAAAACATTTTCTACAGAAAATAACAAATTGTGCGCGAAAATGTGTTCCACTCAAACAAACGAAGCATTAGTAGCAAATAGTAGAGGACTTAGCAGGAAGGAAGAGGGGACATTCACAAACAAAAACTAACCTCAATAGGTTTAGGGTCGAACGAAACAACGACTCCAGCAATTTCAGTGATCCTCTGTCAGTTCAGGAAATGTGTCAGTAAGGAAACATATATGCAGATATCCGACACTTTACTGCAGTATAAGTATTTATCAAATTACTTCTAGAATGTAACGAGCCATCCACAACTGATCTCCAGAACTGATGCCAACAGAAGGCCCAACTTGGAATTCCCACTACATATCACAAGAAAAACATTTAAAACTTTGAGGTCAACAAAACCAATAAACAGGGCAACTGACGAGACAAAGCATTAAGGCCATGTTTGTTTGGGTGGACATGAGTTTGGGATTGGACTAATAGTCCAATAAAATTATTAATCCTATGTTTGGTTAAACAATTAAAGTATGGACTAATTATTTTAAACTTGACTATTAGTTAAGATAGGATACATAATCCAACGGATTCGTAGTCCTAGGACTATTAGTCATGGGAATGCTAATCCAGTCTGCCCAAACAAACATGGCCTAAGTTCTATAAGGGAAAGATTAAAAAAAAAAAGTTCTTTTACTTGTACAGAAATCAATCACAGAACCAAACGCAACCCCTTCTTCAATTATGTGATCGGTTTCTATGTTCCTAGACTTTTTTTTTCCCCAAAAAAAATAAATAAATAAAATGGATAGAATGTGTAAATTAATCTTTTACCTGACCCGGCATCACCTCTCCATTGATGCCACTAATGTTAATACCAGCATAAAGACATGCTTTATAATGGGCATCGACAATGTCTCGCCCAAAAGCTTTATCCGCACCAATACCACAGTAGTATGGTCCCTGTTTTGATAAAGCCAAAATAAAACTCACAATTATTATAAACACATAGAAACCTCAATATGAAAAAGGAAGAGGAACAGTGGTGGTGAGCAACACAAATCAGGTTGGCTGAAGCTAAATAACCTAGAGAACAATCCTCTTGTGAATCTTCAGGCCAAACAAGTTCTTTTTTTTTTTTAAATTCAAATCTATTTACAAAGCCATTAAATTCAAGCATCAAGAGAGTATCACAGGCCTCATCGAAAACAGGTTCATCACATTTAACCAAGACTACATTTCCTAAAACAGATCCCAATAAGAAAACATATCCAGAGGTGGTTCATCAACAATTAGCCCAATGTATAAGACTCACTAAAATAAATTATTATTACTGGATGCCTCAATTTTTGAAATGGCCAGAAAAATAACACCTCATTTTGATGCTTAGCACATCATGATAAAGAAATAAATAAAAACTTGGGCCACTACTGTGCATATTGTATGCAAACGGTCCTCTACTACTACTTTCATGGAGCGAGACATACAGTTTCTAACAGCAAGCTCAAGTGGTAATTTGGCAAAAGAGAAAGAAGAAGCAAAATCACAATTGCATTTAAAACTCAGTTTAGAACACAAACTAAAACATAGTATTTCTTTTTCATATATCATATATAAAATACACCCAGAATTTCTAGTACTGAAAATTGGGCAAATAAAAAAATAGTGATCAAGACATATTAAAAAATGTGACACAATCATTTTTCAAAGAAAAAGAAGTAATACAATGACATAGTTGGTGATGGCGAAACTTCACTACCTGTGGTCCAGGATAACCTCCCACAGGCCAACCAATCGGCCACTTCACTTCTTTCTGCAACAAAGTGTACTCCTGCTCTATACCATACCTGAAAAAATAAAAATAAATAAGTAAATAAAAGTTAGTACACAATTGGAGCAGAAAATATAATGCAGATTCCCAATAATCAACATTAAAAAGCACAGTACCATATGAAAAGAACTATTTTTTATTTTATGAACAAATTAATAAATAAAAGTAGAACATACCAAGGTTCCTCAGCAACAACATCAGGGTGGCTGAATATCTTGGCAGCATCAAACCTCTTATTTGTTGGGATTGGCTCTCCACCCGGCGTGTAAGCATCACACATTACCTGCAATATTAGAAGAAAAATACTATTCATACCAATTTTTTATACAAAATTGGTCACAAGAATGATGTTTAAATGCCACGTCATTTTGCATATTTTTCTGTTTGTCACTGCTCATATTAGAAACACAACCACAAACTCCATAAATTAATTCTTTTTATAAATCAGTTTACATTATAGGGGGAAAAGAAGGGACTTACAAGAATGTTGTTGCCTCTCCTGAATGGGTCCTTATAAATTGCCTGGGGACTGTTTGCATAAACAAACCAATGTTATATCCAATCTCCAAAGAATTTTGAGAAACACACTGAAATGAAAACTGAGAATTGAAATCAAGATAACATACTATAAAATCACTTCACTGTCCTCGCCAGGGGCTTGGCCAGTGCTGGAACCATCGTAGTTCCATTGTGGTAACTTTGAAGGATCAGAGACTGGTGCATTCAGGGTCTGATTCAAGGGTAAGAAACCAAATATAAAGAAGATCATCAGCGACCAAATTACATGAAAAATTCAAATTCAAAATTAGAAAACAAATATGACAGTTTCAAAACACCCTTGGTTTTCATCTGGTTTCTATTTCTGTGCAAAAACAATTTCCAAATTCGTTAACAAGTTTTTTGGTATTTGATAAAAACAAACAGTTGGCCAAATAAATTCTGTATCTGTATTTTCTAAAAATGATAAGATATAAATGAAAAATGAAAACACAATCAAACAAACCCATGTGTGCATTAAAAACTAAGACCACCAATAGAGAAGATATGGGCTTGTTTGATTGTGTTTTGATTTTTGCTTCAGGAAAAACAAAAGTCCAATATTCAAAAACATCATTGTTTTCATATAGTTTTCATTTTTTGGGCAAAAATAATTTTCAAAAAGTCATTTGCCTCCGTTTAGGAATTGAGTTGGCTTTTTGACTTTTTTTTTGTGAGAGAAGAGTGTAATGATTATGGGTTAGATGTAATATTTTGTTTGTTGTGGCTAAAATAGCGTTTGGAAATGACTTTTTGACTTTTTGAGAGAGAAGAATGTAATGATTATGGGTTAGATGTGATGTTTTGCTTGTTGTGGCTAAAATAGCCTATTTTGTTTTTGTGGCTATCTTAGCCCCAAAACCACTTGCCAAACACCAACCATTCAGTATTTCATAAAAATTGAGTTGTTTTCAGAATATTTCTTAAAAACAGTTCTCCAAACTTTTCTATAAATGATAAAATTAAAATTAAAAGTAAATAATAAATAATAAATAAATAAAGACAACCAAACAGATCCTATGTGTGTGCATTAATTAAATTCATTAAAAGTATTACCCTGGCTTTGCTTCTGAGGTCCATACCAGATCCACCGATCCTGTGCAATGATCAAACACATATATACACATCAAAAATACGAAATACATATTAATAATAATAAAATATGAAGAGACAGAGGGGAAAAAAAAATCCAAATTGTTATAATAAAAAACTATAAAAAAAAAAGAGGAAAAAACACAGAAAATGTTTCAAACAAAATGGAATGTATATGACTCTATGACCTATGCATGAGACATAGAAGTCACAACCATGAAGAACAAAATAAAGAGAAAATTGCAAAACAAACACTGATCTGCAATCAAGAGTGCCTTAAACATGAAAAACAAAAACATAGAGAGAAAGAGAGATCTGAGAGAAGTAAAACTAACCATATGTACTCTGCAATGATCTTCTCGGTAGACTCAGATAGATTCAAGTTGCAAAGATCGGAAAGAAGAGACATAGTGACGATCGATCAAAAACACCCACTCCAAACAAACCACACGATGCTTTTACTCTCCCTCTCTCCTCTTTCTCTCCGTACTATACGTGGTTTGTGTTGGAGTCTGTGGCGAGGAGTAATGTGCTGTAGAACCAGGGATGAGTTCGTCCTTTTATAGTGGTTGAGGTGTTTTACATTGCACTAGTTTAGAATGGTTGTTAAATTTTATTTTTTAATTTTTAATTTATTTCGAGTTACATTATTTTTTATTTTTTTATATATTTTTTTAAAAAGAGTTAAAAAAATTTAGATGGGACTGAGAAGAGATTAAAAGTTAAAAAAAATATATTTTTAACTTCGTCCCCAAAATAGATATTAGAATTTTTTTGAAAAGTAAGTTGAAAGTTAAATTTTTTGATTTTTTTTTTTAAAGTGTAAAAAAAGTGATGTACACTATGTATACTCTTAAAAAGATGTATATCTTATGCACATTCTAATTAAAAAAATAATATAATTTTATATTTTTTAAGTCATTACTAAAAAAATTAAAAATAAATAAATATCATAATTAAAGAAGAAAATGACATAATTAAAAATGTATAAAGTATATCATTTTTAAGAGTATGTATATTAGTATTTCCCTAATTTACTATGGCCTTATTTGGGAAGTTGACTATTTTAGTTAACTATTTAATTTTTTGACTATTTTAATCTGACTAAAATAGTTTATTAGCTTTTTTGTAATTGAGGGCTATTTTGAAAAGTGTGTTAAAAGTCACTTATCAGCTTTTAACCCATTTCCCTCTCTCACAAAAAAGTCAAAAAATAACTTTTAATCATCTTCTCAAAACACCCCTGATTTGATAGTTATCAAAGAAAAAATAAAACGGTTATAGGTTAGATGCAATATATTATCTTATTGATTATTTTAGTCTATTTTATCTTTTAGTGAGTTATTTTAACTCAACTATCTTCCCAAACACCCCTTATATTGTTTCGTATCTTATTTTGGGTAGGCTTTGACATGAGTTATTTTGGTTAAATTATTTATAAAATAGATTAATTTAGTCAATAAAATAAAAAGTCACATTCAAATTATAATCATTTTATTTTTTCTTTTATAACCATCAAATTAACTATTAGAAAAAATTCAAAATTTATCCTAAAAATAACTTTTTTGGTCTGGTTAAAAATAAATAAAAAAATAAAAAATAATCAGACTAAGTTGTTGTTTGGCATGTGACTTTTTTAATTGACTTTTTAATTTTTTGACTATTTTAGCTTCGGCTAAAAAGTTCGTATGGGTTGATTTTTTTTAGTTTTTTTTAATTTTTGTAAAAGAAAAATAAAATGATTATGATTTGGATGTGGTATTTTATCTTATTAACTTTTTATCTTCTTTTTTTTTGTGAATAATTTAGCACAAAATGTCAATGCCAAATGAAGCCTAAATTAGTCTATCTTAAAAAATGCTCTATTTTATACACTCAACGATAATTTGAATCATTTATTTCATAAATAGTAATAATAATGAATGAGCTGTGCTGGGCACCCCTAGCACCCCCACTCCACGTGGGAAGCTGTGGACCAAGGGAAAAAAAAAAAATTCAACCAATTGCATGCCGCCACATCAGTTGGGGGTCACTGGGGTCTTCAAAATTAGGGGTGCAAATCATTTTTCAATGATGAAATATTCTGAAAATAGAATATAAAAAAGTATGGATGATATATTCTTTCATATTTTACTTTTTGCCTCTATTTTGGACCTACAAAAAGGATATCAACCATTTATCTTATAAGTCTAGTAATAAAAATGAATTCTACAAATTAGAATATGAAGAAATATGAACGATGATGATACTGGCCTACAAATTTTACAAAATAGAATATGAAAAAGTATAGACGATAGTGATACATTGGGCAACCATTTCTAACCTAATTACATAATTGGATATAATTTTTTCTATAACAATAATTTAAATCATTTATCTCGTAAATTCAATCATAAAAAATGAGTTTCGCAAAATAGATTACGAAAGAATATGACCCGTAACGTTTTTTTATTATTATTTTATAACTAGGTGCTCGAAGCAATTTGCATCTCTAATGACCTTTTAAAGTGACTTGAACTGAATACGTTAAATTTTATGTTCAAGTTTTTACCGTTTAATAAACTCCTAAATTATTGAACAGTGTATAAAAATCATTTTTCAATCTGATTACAGAATTAGACACAATTATTTTGTACGAATACGCGACATACAAAAATGTATGATCCACCCACATGTGATAGTATTGTATTTGATTTATGTGTTTCTAAAAAAAAAATTGTAGAAATAAGAAAATTAGTTATTTTATTGAATATTTTTATGAGTAATTCTAGATATCATGAAATATTTCATATTTTATGAAGATTCTTCATTATTTGATTAATGTGTGGTATTTTTTTGTGTGTATAATTTAAGAGTGGAGAATTTTTATAAAGTTTTTTATGATATTTTTTTTCATAATACCTAACATTGCTCATGTTTGATTAAGGTAAATAAATTAAAGGGGACTTACGTATAAGTTATAATAAGTGGACTTATTATCCAATAGGTCTTGTGAAAATCAATGACGTTTTCATCAAATACTATTAAAAATGTTACTAATCGTCAATTTTCAGCAACAGTTTGAAAATTTTATCACAAAAAATTACTAATTATAAATTAAAAAATCGCCATAAAAAAAAGTTACTAACTTTTAACTTTTAGTGACAGTTTGAAAATTCATTACATAAAAACGTTGCTACTTGTAAGTTTTAGCAATAATTTATAAAAATCTAACAAAAAAAAATCACTAATTATAAATTTTTAGTGGCATATGTATAAATCGTAAAAAAATAATTTAATGACAATTTTATCAAAACTTATTTTTAATAAAATTTGATAAAAATTAAATCCAACAAAATCTATTAATAATTTACCCTAAATTTAAAATGTTATTCAGTGTGTTTGATTTGAGTTTTTTGGATTAAGTTTTTTGAAAACTAAATTTTTTGGTTTTTGTATTTTTTTATTTTTAATGAATATTTTTTAAATTTTAAATATTTTTTTACTTTTTTAGATGTACCTTATTTAGATGTATCTAAAAAGTAAAAAAATTGTGAAAAAATATTTTAAAAAATTAATAAATATATAAAAATACAAAAAATGTACTGA